GTGACTATAACATTTGACCAGAATGGCCTATACTAAACATACCAGTGACTATAACATTTGACCAGAATGGCCTATACTAAACATACCAGTGACTATAACATTTGACCAGAATGGCCTATACTAAACATACCAGTGACTATAACATATGACCAGAATGGCCTATACTAAACATACCAGTGACTATAACATTTGACCAGAATGGCCTATACTAAATTTACCAGTGACTATAACATATGACCAGTATGGCCTATACTAAACATACCAGTGACTATAACATTTGACCAGTTGTATGTCCCGAGTCCAGTTTGTCCGCTCTGTACCTACGTATAAATGTCCTCGCGCCATCTCGAACCTTTAAATATTTAATCTTCATTAAAACATTTGTATTTATGTTGGAAACATATTCTATTTTTTAATCTACGTCTAGCTGCTCATGAGTATAAATAATAAAGCATTGAGCTTGGACAGCTGAATCAAATTTATGGGATAGTTGTTGGTGACAAACTGTATAAAACAAATTTACATTCACAAAGTAATATATCAAATAGATTGTCTATTCAGATCAATTGTTCCCTCTAGGTAAAAAACAATATCCTACCTGCTGTTGAAGCAAACACTGGCAAATGAAAATAAATAAACCCTGGAAAATTCACGCAAAAAAAACAACAAAAAAACATTATTTTTTAGCAGAACGGATAAAAAATCTACTGAATAACAGCCCAATACAAATAAACTATGTATATAGCAGATGTATAATGGTTATTGTTTTTATTTTTCTTTACTCAATACGGCAGTGTCATTAAATCTAATATTATAATTAACGTTAGTCTTAGGTAAATCTTGAATTTCCGATGAACAATGTATAAACTCACAACGATTTAAAGTAGGCATATATATACTATAAGACAATATTAAAAACGTAAGTGAATAAAAAAATTATAAATATACCTTTTATTTTCACTAATATAAGAAATGTAAAATTAAAATAAAAAACAAACACCTGCAGTGAGTTAGTGAGTGCAAACAGGTACTGAAAGATCACGTGGGGGTCTGTCATGGACAAGACACCATACACCCAGGACAGGCCGAGGATTGGGGACAAGATACAGATGGACCGGACGACTGACCTATTATCGATTGTACACACATGTAACAATGAGCGTAATATTTTGAAATTGGGAAAACTAATAACTCAAAGTATCACAGTATACAAATGTTATGTATTATTTTAAAGACTGCGTGTAGGTGGTAGTGTTGTATAATATTTTCTTGTTACACTTACTTTGTTCTAGCTACAAGTGGTTTGTTCGACATGAAATGTGAAGTTTGCATGGTTTTAAGGACGACCAACACAATGATGAAATTTACCTGCAATAGAATATAAACTTTAAAAAAAAGACACAATATCCGTAGAAAGTCAACATCTAGATGCATTAAAACGAGTACATTTCCAAAACGATTGAAAATTATTAACATTTTTATTTACTCAAAAGACATTTAATTTGATATAACACGTCAATCAATAAACAATTTAAAAATATAATTAATTTAAACTGCTACTAATATACTAAATTAACCAAAGGAGAAAATATAATAATTATTTTATTTAATTTTTAACATTAATCGCATTGACTTACTAAAATAATACTTAGCGCTGGGACTGTAAAAGCCCAAAAGACACCAGACTCAATAGAAAGCCAGCAACTGAAAAAGAACGAGATAGATTTCTTTCATAACAATTTTTAATCTACAATGGAAATGCAAAACACAATATATGGTTATTTTTTTAAACATTGTAATTAAAATGTTACAACTAGGAGTTTACTATGTGTCAGTAGTGTATCCATGTGCTTTAATCATTGTGATAAATACGTTACAACTAGGAGTTTACTATGTGTTAGTAGTGTATCTATGAACTTTAATCATTGTGATAAATACGTTACAACTAAGAGTTTACTATGTGTCAGTAGTGTATCCATGCGCTTTAATCATTGTGATAAATACGTTACAACTAGGAGTTTACTATGTGTCAGTAGTGTATCCATGAGCTTTAGTCACTGCAAGAGTTATGACCACAATAAGCAAAGGTCCACCTGTTATGTTGGAGTATTCAAATAGTTATATTAAAAATTTTAACTAGAGACATTTTTATGTATATTAAGTATTTTTAACTATAGATACACACACATATTTGAAGTCAATAATAAAATACATAATATGACTATGTAATGTTATTTATTCAAAGAGCAGTGCAAACATAATTACGATAATAAATGCATCCCCCCCCCCACCAAATAAATTATTTTACTCACTATCCAGATCTACATCTTTAAAAAAAAAACTTGGACAGTAGTTCTTAACCTGTTTGCGAGCAAATCGGTGGGTCAGTCTCAGGTGTTCGGCGGAGCCCAATAATCAACAATTACGTGTTATTTGAACAATTATAAGTGTTCGGTAAATGCGCATATTAACTTGTGATATTCGGTGCCTGCACAATGGTTAAAAACAACTGATCTACAATATAATAATCTACCAAGTGTATTACACTTGAGTAATATTTTATTTATAAGGGGTCATCCATAAATGACGTCACGCTTTTTTGACGATTTTACCCCCCCCCATCCCCTCCGTCACACGTCGTCACAAAAAGCCAGACCCCCCCACCTAAAAAAAACGTCACACCTCAGCCTACAACCACTCCCCCCCCCCCCTCAAAATTACTGTTGATTTTTTCTTAAAACATCGATATTTTCCCAAAATGTTGTCAGAACTCTGTCAACATAAAGTGTTTTGATCAATTACTGTTACAATTTATTAAAACCGTTTTCTAAAACGCAAAATAATGGCTAAAACTCGTTTTCTAACATTACTTTTTTTATAATGCAAAAAAAAGTGAAGTCACACTATCTGAACCCCCCCCCCCTCCCCCTCATCACACACCGTCACAAAATAATAGATACCCCCTCGCCCCTACGAGTGTGACGTCATTTATAAACGACCCCCTTATCACATTTTCCCCAATTTTTGCTGGGTAAAACTGTTGAGTTGATTCTTAAACAGCATTAGTATAATTAATACTAGAACCCGTTAAGATATTTTAGTGTGTAGATTGATTAAAACTAGAAAGCTTACCATAAGACAAGGGAAGTAAGTAGCGCAGGACGGAACGTGTCGTCATACTAATGACAGACACGAGGACATTGAGACCTTGACCCAGCATGGAGAAAAACACAACAAGGAACAGGAAGTGAAGGGCTGCAGCAATGGCCGTGCACATGACCTAATAGAGAGGGTTGATTAGAGTAAAAGTTATACTATTTTATATTTTGTCTCAATTTAATTTTTTTTCAACAAGGGAAACTAACGTTAATATGGGTATCTGCTCTATCATTTATGTTTTATATATATATATATATATATATATATATATATATATATATATATATATATATATATATATATATACATATATATATATATACATATATATTTATAATGCTGTGCTTCAAAACATATATTTCAAGCAGTAATGATTTACCTTGTTTTGTGTCTGGTTTATTCCCGACAGAAACACGACATAGCCAAGTGTCAAGGTCACAGAAAGGTTGACGTAGAGGACAGCTCGATCAGATTTTACGTATCTATATATGTATATTATTTATGGATGACACCAACAACTCTTTTAGCTAATATTTGAATTAGGTGTAGTTATCTTAGTCAATACTGTAAAGCAATGCTAATCGTTACTCATAGTTTAGTTACATACGAGCTGTAAAATAAAACTCATACCTGCTTTGAATTGGTTTTTCCTCACTAAAAAATACTTAATTCGTAAAAAAAAAAACAATATCGTTCGAAAAGCTTTAATATTAACTATAAACTATAACAAAATTTTGGTCAGTTTTGATAACATTTACTTACATATTAAAAATATATATATATTACATTTTTTTTTACTTACCGCATATCCATTATTTATTTATAAATCATTTATTTACTAAACATTGATCAAGTAACCTACCTCCATAGAACGGCATAGACCAGGACGGTAGCCAGCAGACATATTATAGATACAGATAAACATATGATGGAGATTGTGTTTATTATGTAGTTATCTTTATGCTGGGAAATAAACATTTGAAGTTAGATTTCCTTTAATAAAATGTTTTATATAAAATTAAAAACAAGTAAATGTGTGTAAGTAAAAAAACAACACAATAATAGAACCCACAATTAAGCTATGGTTAGACCTACTTTAAAAAAAAATGTAATTGTTTCAATGAATGTTTCATTGCTATCTGATCTCGTTTAACTAATGAGCTTACATAACACACCTTTTGTAAAATAAAACGTACCTGGTCAATGTAGGGACTCATAAGAACAGCGAAGTTTGTTGTATGGTTGCACTCACACGTGACATAGTCCTGGTCATAGTACACCACGTGACACCCGTCAGACGACCACACACCGCTCTCACTGAACACAAAACGTAATGTTAAAAAAAAATATTGTTTATTTGCCTACTATAGTTTGAGAAGTTTTGACTAGAATAAAAGATTGCTAAACATTATGGACACTTACTCAGCTGAAAAGTCCAAGAAAGCACAGACTGGGTTTGTGTAATTGGTCTGAAGAGTAAATAAAACTGTTTATAACTTCTGTTAAAATACATATTCAATTGAAATGACTATTCTCAGACGTTAGAATAATAATATAAAAAAGATATACATCTTACAGAGTCAACGAAGAACGAAACTCTGAGCGGGATTCTAAGTTCTCCATGAAAACCATGAATAGAAAATGCGATGATATCAGAAACCAAATTTTTGGTAGCGAGTTCTTTGTTGTGTCTGGCATAGAGATTGTAAAGCATTGATATATATATATATATATATATATATATATATATATATATATATATATATATATATATATATATATATATATATATATATGGTTATGGCCGTTTTATGTGTATGTGTGTTTTAAGTTTACCTAATTTGTTTTTCTTGATTTACCATCAACTTGTTTTTCAACCCGTCGTAGACAATGATAGAGTAGTTTAGCGCACCTGTAGCATAACAATCAAAACTTTTTTTAAATAATCAAAATGCAAAAGGCAATTGTAATGATTAACAATTACTCAAGTACTACAAAGTTGTGTGTAAATAAATAATCTTACCAATTAGTAAATACAAAAATAACGTCAACTTTTAAACATTATAAAAGTAAATCTAACCTTTGAATGTTTGACTCGCATTGTGTGACAAATACAAACTGTTTTTTGTTTTTCTTAACCACGATATGTTGTAGGCTGCATCGACTTCATGGACTATTGGGAAATGTATGTCAGCTTCTGATTGGGCTATTATTATTGCTATGGAGCAGAAACGCATTCTTTTTTTTTTTAAATGGACAACATTGAAGCGAATGTCGTATAAAGAGAAAATGAAAAAAAAATACAAATGCAATTTTAATATGAAAAAAAAACCAGTATGCGACATGTTTGGAACATCTTTTAAACGAAATATTAAGATATTTGATGCGATGGCGTCACAAGTCATGAAAATAAAATAGCATAAGGGGGGGGGGGGGGTTGCTGTCGGAAAGAGTGTAACTTTTTTACGTGGAGTGTGTACATCGTATTAAAGTCATATTAACAAGGGTAGTAATATATCATGTTAAAATAAGTAGTAGGGTGAAGAAGTTACACCGTACCGAATGGGTAAAATCGCTGGAATGTGTAAAGGTGATTAATGTAATGATATCACTTGAATAATTGACACCATTGATAAAATAATTATACTGATGTGAATAATATATTTTAATTAATTTTCTTAACACATGTATTTAGAAAAAAACATAAATGAGTAAACGTTGTCTAGATAGAATAGAGAAGGAGTTGAAATTTGAACAAATATTTTACCTAGAGTGTCTTGTACTATGACTGTAATGTTTGCAGCAGATCTAACGACGATATTTTCCATGTAGTTAACCAGTCTAGTCGCGGCCTGCTCCCCTCTCTTATTTAACTGATGCCAAACGTGTTCTTCTATTTGTATGGTCAAGTCTACCACTGATGTTATCTTCTGATATCAAGTTTTTAAAATACAATATTTTAAACATTTTGTCCATTTAAAAAAAAAATTTTACTCAACAAAAGTGTGACATGCTTTCTGAGATTTATTTTGCTTTTGTAGGTCCATGTAAAATTGTACGCAACATTATTTACTTTAGAGGGCACATTAATAGCGATTAATCAGCACTTAACACATGTTATAATGAGTCATAGTTAATACATACATAACATATATGAAAAGCTTTACCAAATGTGACATTTAAGTTTGTATCGACGACATCATTATTTAGACATTTTCTTACGTTTGACTAAATGCATATCTATATATATAATTCTCTTCTGGGATCAATTAGAAAACAAGCTGCAAGCGCGCCTTTGCAGTCCCCTCTCTTCCTCTCTATCACTATCACTACCACCCCCACCCCACCCCACATGATCTGGTGAGCAGTGTTCACTCTGTTTACATTTTACAATCACAGAGACGGGTTTGGTGACGGCTATTAGGGGCAGATAATTTAGTTTGAAACGATTTTAAACTTAGAGGAGGTAACTAAGAGTAGGCTGCTTTCACGTGGGGGTTGGGGGGGGGTAGTGTTTTTAAGCAAATATTTTCAATGGCATCATTGGTACTGTCGAATTCACAAATTATAAATTACTGAAAAGTAGAAAAAAAAACAACTAAATAGCGGCGTATGATACGCATCGGGTCAGCTCGTATATATAATTCTCTTCTGGGAGTCGTTAGAAAACAAGCTGCAAGCACCTCCTCGCAGTCCCCTCTCTTTCTCTCTATCACTATCACTACCACCCCCACCCCACCCCCACATTGTCTGGTGAGCTGTGGTCACGCTGTTTACATTTTACAATCATAGAGACGGGTTTGGTGACGGCTATTAGGGGCAGATAATTTAGTTTGAAACGATTTTAAACTTAGAGGAGGTAACTAAGAGGAGGCTGCTTTCACGTGGCTGGGGGGGGGGGGGGTTAGTGTTTTTAATCAAATATTTTTAGTGGCAGCATTTGTACTGTAATTCACAAATTATAAATTACTGAAAAGTAGAAAAAAAAACCAACTAAATAGCGGCGTATGATACGAAGCGGGTCGGCTCGTTATCTTTAATTACATTATACGTAAATTAAATCAAGTACATACATATTAACTCGCATATAGATAGTTTTTAAGTAAACGAGAATATGTAAACACAACCTTCAGTAAATGATCATCTACAATGATAACTGTAGAGTTAACTGCTGACGACACCATATCTAGAAAGTCGATGATGAGTTTCAGATCACCAGGTATAATTTCCCTTCCAGCAGTTGTAAGTCTAGAGTAGATCTTGTCTAAAGTCTCTTCAATCACTCTAGATGCATTCAATTGGTTCTTGAATATATCGTAGTTCTGTAAAATTCATGTGCATAATACGTATGTTAGTAGCATTCAAGACAATTTATAATATTGTCATTTAATATTGTTTATTATTTTTTAATGTCTATATAATTATCCACATTATATACGACTTAGTTACGTTTCTTCATCAACTAGGTAGGCAATTTCAGACTGCAAATAATATATAGTAAACAGATGTGTTTAAAACATGTTGTTCATTTTGCTTGCACAAGCATACATTCTTAAATAAAATTTCATAAGCTGTAAATTGCATATATGTTCCTTTCTAACGTGAATCTAATTTTACTTACAATTTTACGAAGCTGTAGGTCCATGGTGTTAAACTCAGAGTCTAAAAAAATGTTTTAAAAGTTCAGTAAATGATAATTAGATAAAACCAAACAGTGTGTGTTTAACACTAACGAATATACAAAACGTAGGGACGGCGTGGCCTAACGGTAGAGAGCTAGACAGCTAACCCGGAAATCTCAAGTAGAACACTTGAGTCTTCCCAGCTCTGATGGGTAAATAACACACGGTAGGGAAACAAAGACGGCTTGGCAGAGGCGTTTCGACCCTTCCCGGCGCCTGTGAACTAACTTTCAATTTAGGCGCCCACCCCATGGACAAATTTTCAATTTGGCGCCACTTCTCATATATTTTGAATATTTATAATGCAAAACTGCAACTAAAATGAGCTTTTTACTTTTTTTTTCAACCCATGTTGGTGGCCCCTTGGGTCGGCGCCCGGGGACATATTTGCCCCCCTCGCTACGTCACTGCGGCTGGGTAAATGCTGACCACACTGTCCACATGCAAATGAAACAGATGAACTCTATTAGCCGCATGTGTTTTGGGCACACACGGGAAAAGATGATGATATGATACAAATGTTATAACATACACGTTGTTATACGGACGCACACACAGACAGACACACACACACATCCCCAACCCCATGTGGTCATTGGGGGCAACATGAATTTGTAAGGTGTGTCTAGGACTAATTGTGACACGGTGGCGCCCACCATTCTGCATACTTTTCAATAGCTAGGTCATTTTTTTGGGAAGTAGTGTATATATATATATATATATATGTATATATATATATATATATATATATATATATATATATATATATATATATATATATATATATAGGTATATATAAAGCGTGTGTATCAGTTAGAAAATTAGGGCCTACACAACTTTTACATTATAGAAACAAAGTCCAATTCAGTAATGTTCAGGTTTATTTACTTTGTACGCAAGAACACCTACACAATTCCTAGCCCTGCTGTCATCTGCTATCATTTTAATATACGCTTTTGTAAGTCACACTCCCACCCCTCTACACACACTCATGTATTTTAGACAAATAACGTGACATAGCTAATGTATTCCAACTAAGGAAAGTAGGTAACAATTTTGTATCCTATGTATCCCGTATACGAGAAAGTAAAATGCAGTGTGCATTAAACTAAACAGAAGTTTAACCTAAATTGTACTAATGTAAATGAAACGATGCAATTACTTCTTCTATACTTCATATACAATAAAGTAAAACATGATACCATTTCCATGCATGTTATTATTTCCTGATTAACGTACATGGCGGAACTTCACAGATAAACGTTGCTTTAGTTGAGGGGTCCACAACATCCATACCGTTATCTTTGATGACAACATGGCCAGCATCACGGACTGAGCGTTTACGCTCAACAGTCTGTACTAAGGATGACTCCAAACAAGAAAAAAAAAAACATAGTAGATGCTACATTTCTCAGAATTTAACGTTTAATTTATGTAATTTTTTTAAAAAATAAAATTTTAAAAAAGTAAAGAACCCTCAATACTCCATACGTAATAAATATAATTCAGTTCAATGTAAACGAAATGAAGGGCCATATTGATGGAATGATTTTTGGAAGTGTTTACAAAGGTACGATGTTACAAAATAACTGACATTAGTTAATATACATGCATACCTATTATTTAGATTTTTCTGACTGAATTCTTACAACTCTATTATCTATTCTCACTGAGATTTTTTTTCGAGTTATGCGTTGTAGAATCGAGAGTACGGCGGCAAGGAGGAAAGCATCAGGTTCGGATAAAAAAAAAAAGTTAGTGTGTTTAAAAATATATATGTGTTACTTAAGGTTTTGGTTGGGTTAGGTTTGGAGAGTGGGTGTTTGGAGTTAGTGTGGTTTTAGGGTTAGGGTAACGACTACGCTTTGACTGAGAAAGAAAAAAAAGGAATAAATGTAATCAGAGCAAACATTAGTAATTGTAATTGATTAATTAAATAAGAAAGTTTGAGCAAATTTTAGCTGTTTTTGTCACGTACATTTTTTTTTACAATAAGATAAAAAAGTCGATATTTTATGCTAACTAAAACTGATACAAAACAATATTTATTTCCTCGAAAGCCCATGATATAATCTAAACGCTTTATGTATATCTTCTATAGGTGACCATAACTAGCGCCACCATGAACTGCATTAGGTTCAGCTAAAAAAAAAAAAAGGAGCGTAGCGTTTTAAAAAAAAACGTAATAAGAAAATGTAATAAATTAAGGTAGAAGTAATGTGTACATACATCTTTTATTATAACTGGATTGTGAGATGATGTTGGAACCTGAGGTAGAAAAAAATATGCAAATTAATAAATCGGGCTATACTGTAATATCGAACTCATGTCAATAATTGTTTTAACTGGTTTCAAGAATAAAGTATTCACTAAATATAAACTAATTAAAATAATAACGATCGATCTAATGCTTTAACTTAGAACACGATTGCTTTTTAGTTAGAATATCCTTTTGTATCTGGAAAATATAAAAATATATAAAACATATTTTTTTAAGTCGATTCTATACACAATTAAAGTACACTACTTAATCAATCATTATTTTCTTTAATGAGGAAGCTACCATGCAGACGATATACAACGTATATCAAATATCAAATTTCAAAATGATTTATCTATCCATATATATATATATATATATATATATATATATATATATATATATATATATATATATATATATATATAAAGCAATGTATGTTTGTGAGCTCTTTTGTCTGCGCTCTTTTGTCGCCGCTCTTTTGTCGGCGCTCTCTTGTCTGCGCTCTTATGTCGGCGCTCTTTTGTCGTGCGCTCTTTTGACGGGTCACCTAACCAAAGCTGATACAGAAAAAATATTTATTTCCTCGAAAGCCCGTGAGATAATCTAAAAGCTTTATGTATATCTTCTATAGGTGACCATAACTAGCGCCACCATGAACTGCATTAGGTTCAGCTTAAACAAAAAAAAAAGGAGCGTAGCGTTTTAAAAAAAAACGTAATAAGAAAATGTAATAAATTAAGGTAGAAGTACTGTGTACATACATCTCCTATAGAAACTGGATTGTGAATTGGTGTTGAAACCTGAGGTAAAAAAAAATATTGCAAATTAATAAATCGCGCTATACTGTAATATCGAACTCATGTCAATATTGTTTTAACTGGTTTCAAGAATAAAGTATTCACTAAATATAAACTAATTAAAATAATAACGATTTATCTAACGCTTTAACTTAGAACACGATTGCGTTTTAGTTA